TTTATGCGATCGCTGAAATACCTCAAAGAGAGATTAAAAGTTTGGAACAAAAAGATTTTTGGGAATCTATATCTCAGTAAAAAAGGTACATGGAAGAGATAACCACGTTGGATGGACTGGCATCGGACAATACAATAACTCAGCCACAAAAAGAGCGTCTTATAGAGCTAAGGAATGAACTGGAAGAAGTTTTGATTTCAGAGGAGAGATGTTGGGGATAGAAGGCAAAAGTTAAATGACAGAAGGAAGGGGATGCTAATATCTGTCATATACTAGTGAACTGCCAGAGGAGGAAAAGTGAGATTAAAGAGACAGTTGGATAATGGAGTGATAGAAGTAAGCAAGGAGGCCACTGAACGAGGGAGTACTTAATTTTATTAGAAACAGTACATTGAGGAAGTAAAACAAAGGCCTTTCTTAAGGGGCATTGATTGGGCTCCAATGCAGGTGGACAAGATGAATGGAAAACCTCATGAGTGGTTCCAGTCGTCCAGAGGTTTGAGATAAGGGGACCTTTTGTCAACTTTTCTCTTTACATTACTAGTAGATGTCCTAAGTAGGATGTTGCCTAGAGCAACTGAGAGAGGCTTTGTGAGAAGATTTATGGAGATGATCGAATAGAGGTTTCTCATCAACAATTTTGCAGATGATAGGATATTATTCATGCAAGTCAATAAGAAATGCCACAACCCTCTTCCAAGTTTCCTAATGCATTTCAGGGCTTAAAATAAACTTCGCTAAAAGTGATCTCATTGGGATTAATGTAAAAGGAGGAGTAGTGGACTAGTTAATTGAGTCTATAGGGTGTACTAGGTCGGTTTGATCCATCACTAACTTAGGAGTCCCCCAAAGGGTAAACCAAGATGTAATGCTTTCTGGAAGAAAGTGGAGCAAAAAGTTGCTAACGACTACAGAGCTGGAGAGGGGGCCTTTTTTACATTAGGAGGGAGGGTAACATTAATTCAAACATGTCTTTTTCAGTATTTTCTTGTACTTATTATCCCTATGTATTATTCCTGCATGAGTGGCTGAGAGCACTAGGAGTTGTATGAGGAGATTCTTATGGTCTAATGTTGGTGAGGAGAATAGGGATCCTTTACTTAGATGGAAAACCTGTTGCTTACCCAGGAGTTCGGGGGATTTGGACATTGAGATTGTCAGGTTCATTATTGGCTAAATGATTTTGGTGGTTCCTCAAGAACTAAAATTTTCGCGGAACAGAGTGATATACAACATGTATGAGAGTGGAAGGATTGGCTGGGATGTCGTTGCAGGACATGGCTCTCGGGTGAAATTTTGGAAATACATTGAGTGTGGGACCATCCTTTAGTCACCAAGTTCCTTTGAATGTTCACTTTATCACATAGACACAAAAAGTTTGTCTCTAGTTTTGTGCAAGCACTAAGGGAGCTCCTTGGAATTTTGTTTCAATAACCTTTCTGATATAGACTGCTGACATGTTGGATTTGTTGAACCTCTTGGAACCGATCCACATTACCTCCCATCCGAACACCAGAATCTGGACTTAGGAACCCACAGATAAATTGACATGCAAATCTCTTGTTGAACACCTTTGGAAATTTCTCCACCAAGGTGTTCTAAAGAGCTCTTGTTCGTTTAAAAGTAAAGGTGTTTTCTTGGACAGCTTTCCATTGGAAGTTCAACACGAATGAGATGCTGTACGTCTTCCGGCCTCACATGCCTTGTCTCCACATGTCTGTGTAATGCACTTTTTAGTGGGGAGACATACATTTGTTTTTTACATTGTCAAGCGTCATGGAGTCTTTGGGTGAGATTGATCAAGCTTTTTTTCTGGCTCAATTGGGTAACCTTCCTGCTGTTGATAGCTTCCTATGTAGTTATCTTTCAGAGGTGGGCGTAAACAAAGGGCCTGGACCATAATTAGAGACGGGAATGGGATGGGGATGGGGTAGGTACATCAATCTCCATATACCCCTCGCTAATAAAAACATAAATCTATACCTGTCATATACACTGTTAATTATTAATTTTACCTGCCCTATCCGGAGTGGGCTTGGGCGGGTTAGTGGTGACCTGTCCCAATGTCCATCTCTAATCACAATGGAGAAGGGCGCTCTTTGTAGGGCTATTATGCATATGGCTCGCTAGGAATCATTGTTTCTTTGATTTATGGCCTACTTCGGCACATGAATTGTGAGACAGAATGACTTTTCTTGCCACCTTATGAACTAAGCCACATGGATACTTTCCCACAATAAGCATTTCTTACATCAAAATTTGGACATTTATATTTCTAGCATTTTGCTCTCTTTTCTGTTTTTTATTAGTTTTCTTGATGTGGAAGATGCCTTATTCTTCAATTTTGTATTCTTTGATTCTCTGTCTTTTTTTTTAAATAAAAAAAGATAGAGAATGAAAGAATACAAAATTGAATGAAGCTTCTTTTGTTATAAAAAAGAAAACCATTATGTGAGAAACCACGTGAAAATGGAAAATTTATTTTGGATCCTGTGGTTTGATGATGTGCTTTTTGGTTGCTCTCAATCTTGTGACCCATATTTATTTTCACTTTGCATTACATGGTTGTATAATTTATAGGATATTGTCCTCCACTTATTTACTTTCTTTCCTTCTCTCGAATAATATTTTGCTTTTTGTAAAAACAATAAAATTTATAGGAAATTATGGTGCAAAAGGAACAAATTGAAGTATTGATTAGGGAGAATGCCATCCTTAAACGTGCTGTTGGCATCCAGCATGAACGGCAGAAAGCTTATGAGGACAGGATCCAAGAGGTACAACATCTGAAGCAGCTGTTGTCTCAATATCAGGAGCAGTTGAGAACTCTAGAGGTAACACCAGGGTCAAACTTTTTATAACTTCTTTTTACCTGTTAGTAGAACACAACTTTTCTGTATCTGCGGGGAATGTAATACGTTAACTAAAGTAATCAACAATACCACGAAAGGAGGTTCATTTCTTCTTAGAAATTAGTTTTTTTTTTTTCCTTCTTTTTCTGGGTTCCTCTGAAGGTTCTATAGAAGATCACCTTTTTCGAGTTTTGTGTTTTTGATGATTGTTCATTTTTGTGGTTGTGCTTACAGGTAAACAACTATGCCTTAACAATGCATTTGAGGCAGGCACAGCAGAACAGCTCCATCCCCGGTCGATACCATCCTGATGTCTTTTAATGAAACAGTGGAATTTGAGCTTTACATGGTGATTGAGACAGTCCAATGTGCCGCAACTATGTATGTACTATTGATGAGAGGTATGGTGCCTGTAGAAGAAGCTTTGATGTCTCTAGATGCTTTTTTCTTTGGCTCCAAGGGTGTATGTGCATGAGCTTTCAGTTGGTTCAAATATGTCAAGTAACGATTTAAAATTGAGTTTCAGTGCATTATTAGATTGTGTCTATTGATCTTGTTATTGTAAGTGGTGGGAAAAATTTTGTGACCTGGGTTAATAGAAAGTTACAGTAATTTCATAAGTTGTCTACTTTTATATCTGCATTATAACTATACAATGCTTCTAACTTCCAGCAGTCTAATTTTTGTGATAAGTTTTAAAGAAAAACTAGATTTATATCCCTTGTTGCATATGGTTTATAAGTTCAATAAATTTTTTTAATTAATTATGCAGTTCTTGTTTTAATATAAACTTTTTAATTTGAGATTTTTAATTCTGATATAATTCTTTAGTTAGATAGATAATAGAAATTTGTAAATGATTTTAACTTGGGTACAATTTTTAGTTATAGTTTGTTGACTTGGGTAAATATTTTAATTTTAGTCGAATTCAGATTAGATAGATAATATAATTGCTGTCTACATATAAGTACTAAACCTCTTTCTGAATATGTGATGATTGAAATCAATTAATTTTACATAATTCTAATCTTTATTTGGATAAATTATACATTATAATAACAAAATTCATCTTGTATCTGAATAATGGGAAGTTAATTAAATTATAAATTCTAATCAAATTTATTCAAGTGAACATATTTATTAAAACTAAAGTTGTTGTTGAATGCTTAAATTAATTAATGAACATTGTATTAAGTTTATACATAATGCTTGAACTGCAAACAAAAGATTAAAACTCACCATATATAGCTAAATAGTTTGAGTTCACCTTAGTAAATAATACATACAATCACTATTATATGTATTAGTTACATAATTAATATAATTTTTAATTAAATAGTTTAATTTTAATTTTAATTAGATAGTTACTAAAATTGTAATCTGCAGTGATTTTACTTTAATTACATTTGAAAATTTTAATCAGATAATAGCTCTAATTAAAGAATTTCTAATTAGATAGTCAGTCACATTGTGTTAAAAGAATTAATAAATTTAGTGTATAATATTTTTGTTAAATTATTATTTACATTAAAACTTTTAAATATTATTTAAATTATATTTTTACTTTTATATATAATATGATTTTTTTTTAATCAAAGATCTTTTTTATTCGTTTCAATAAATCATGATTTAAATTATTCTTCTACTAAATCTATTAGTTGTATGGTATTTCATTTTAATCTTAACATAATTCATACATTCTTCAAAAAACAAACATAATTTAACATTCTTTTGATAATTTTTTATAATAACTATATTGATTCTATTATATATTCATAAGAAATAACATTGACTTCATAGCAAAATAAGAAATAATATTTGATTATCACTTCTGAAAAGTGTTGAAATGAGATTTTTTTTTTAAAAGAAAAAATGATAAAGAATAAAATAAAGGATTATTGGTGATAATATTTTAAAAATAGAGTAATATTTTATTTATTCTATTTTTACTAGCATTTATTCATGATTGAAAATAGTAATTACAATAATTTATTAATTTATTTGAATAACACTTTATTTCATTTTTATCTGATGTAAAAGCAATTTTATTAATTTATTTGAAGTTATTAACCCGTGCTTTTCACTGGCTTTTTAAAAGAAGAAAAGCCCCTACTGTAATTGTATATTTTTCATGTATAAAATCACGCCACAAAATCCAATCTTTCTGCGTACTCGTCCCACACCAAGCCTTTCTTTTCTTCCATAACTCTCTCTGCATAACAATGATCAAAATCAAACACTTTCTTCTTCTTCTTCTTCCTCGTCTTCTCCTAGATTAATTTCTTCCACGATACGATATACTCGCTTTCAATGGCTACCACTTCTCTCTCCCTCCTCCCATCCTCTATCAGCTTCTCTACGGACCGCCCATCCACTTCAGCTTCCTCCTTTTCTTCTTCTTCTTCTACTCTCTTTCATGGTGCTACCTCCCTCAGGTCCCACAAAAGTTTTTCTTCTCTAACCTCCTCCTCTTCTTTGAAGTCCAATCCAAGGTTCTCTAAAAACCGTTTTGGGACAGTGTTAGCTGCTTCTGGAGACTATTATTCTACTCTTGGCGTACCTAAATCTGCAAGCAGTAAAGAAATTAAAGCTGCTTATCGTAGATTGGCTCGACAGGTACTGCCTTTAATTGGGTTTTTCATTTTCGGTTGATCATTTTTAATCTTTGGGCATCGTGAAAATCGCGCGGGGTTTATTTGATATATAGTAGTAGAGTGTCCTTGTCTCTGGATTTCCTTGTTAGTTTGGTTACTGAGAAAAATTTAAGGAGTGGGAAATGAGAGAAGAAATTTCAATTGGGTTTAAGCATAGTGGATTAGAGCTGCAAGTGCATGTCCAGTGATAACATTGTGATAATCTGTAGCTTTCTATTTTCGTTGCTGGCGATTTTTTTCAATTCCTTTATTCTTGTATGGTTTGGTTTGGGAATTTCCATTTTCAAATGCTATTATATGCACGCTTTGGAAGGTATTTTCGTGAATTGTCTGGAAAGATTCGTGTGGAAAAGTGCTTCCGTCATTTTGGATAAGAAGTGATTTCATTGATAATTTGATAAAGTTCACGCCCTTCAGTTTTGGAGGTTGTCTCAGTTTTTATACTTTTTTTTTAATCTTTTATTTTTCTTCAGCATGGGGCCACGCTGGGATCCTTTGTGCTCCTAGAGATAAATTTTTCCCCCCTGTTTTTTTTCCTTGTTGAAATAACTTAGTAGCCTTCAGCTATTTTTGTTCAATTTGGCCTATGTTGCTCCTGAGAATAAAGTCTAAACTGCCAAGCTTTTGGTGTTACGCTTATTTACTGGCTATAGTGGGCCTTGGATTGTTTTTCTTGGTTACAGAAATCAAGGGTTTGCAGAAATGTCATAAAAGAAAATGTTGAAACATAAAAATAACTAGACTGAGATGAATGGAAAGTAGAATAATGCTGCCTATTTAACTTATTATCAGTCAGTTAGGCGAAAAAGTTGAAACATAAAAATTCCCATTATCTAAATCTTGATTAGTGTCCACAAGAACAAGAATCAAAGAAATAGGTCAAGCAAGAAGAGAAATTCATGTTCATAAGAGAAATCCCAACTTTAGAACGTAAGGTCTTTAGCCAATAAATGCCTAAAACCTCTGTAAACCCACTAATAAATCCATATTGAATAGATCTAACCTACAACGGAAACTTGAGTAATTGAGGCGTTCTCCATTGGTTACCATGACATGCAAGTCTTTACGTGTCTCCATCAAAAACCCAAATAGCTCCAATATTGACAAGGCCACAAAGCTCTGAATACTTCCTGAGTTTATAAGAATCATGATAGGATTTCTAGAAATTGCAACATGGATCTGCATGGTCTAGGGAGATCAAACACCTGTGATTGCATGGACAGAAATTTTTAGTCAGGTCTCTTGACAATAGCATTTGTTGTTTAATTGGGTTTAGGAATGCCAACAATTATACGAAAATCCTCAGAAAATTCTGGGCAAACGATTTTTTTTACAAGATAAACAACTCATCAAGATTGGAAAAAAGGCTTGCAATGTTGATCCTCCCTCTCTGCATGATTAATGATCTAAGAACTCCAGAGGGAGAGGAAGAAGGACTGATGATTCTTCGTACTAGATTTTGCATTGTTTTATGGGCTATGTGCCTTTGGCAATTTTGTTTTTTTATAGACAAGTAAAGATGATGGCACTACTCAAAACGGTTGGGTCGGGAATTTCAACTTCAACTGAAATATAGCCTCAAAGGCCACTTTAAAAAATATGGGCTTATTGCTCTAGAGTGGGGGAAGAAGCTTGTCGAACGAGTTCAAGTTAGCATTAAGAATATGCCATTCTTATTGTCTGATGCAATTCAGAGAGCTCACCCAACTTGCTGCTGCAAAATGGTGGGCCAAACCCTATGTTATGGTGTCTTTAAAGCTCACCTCAAGTCATGGCTGTCTATCCTATTCCAACTTCGAAAAGCAAAGTTGTGCACTCTTAAGATGAGCCAATCTCACCTTGTCCTTGTTAACAATTCATTGATGGTGAAAAAAGATGCTCACATCTATTCAATCAGCTGAGTGGATCTATAGACTCATCAAAACGAGGAAAGCCTATTTTTGTGATATTTGGGGTAAAAGGGACCAACCTCAACATGATCTTGAAACACCCTTGGTCGATGTTCTTTGTGACCTAAATTAACACCTCCTTCATTCCCTCATTGTTGTCTAAACTATTGCAAGATATTTCATAGGAAAGGTTATCTGCACTAGTGATAAATTCCTACATTAGCACTTTTTATTTAAAAAAAAAATAAATAAATAAATAAATAAATTCCTACTGTTTAGCCTCAGACACCACTCTCTCTTATTTGTGTTCAACATCATCCAGACATTTGATCTTTGTTATACATTTTGAGGAAGGAGTCAAACTGCTGCTGAAAGGTACATAGATCTCCCATAACTTTATGCTTGTTACATCGATTTGTAATGGTCCCTAACTTGAGATCTGGTTATGAGTCTGGTGACACAAAAACCAGAATCTGGTATAAAATGCTTACTGGACTTTCTCCCTTCTTGACCTATCTTGAGCACTTATTAAAGGCAAATTCTAGGGAATCCTTAGTCTCACATGAGTTTAGAAAGAAACTCTATGTTTTTAGAAAAATTTACTAGTTTCTATCTAGGTTGCAAGTGTACTTAAAGGACAGAAATTATCTGTTGAATTTTACAGAAACTACCCTTACGCAGTACGTATAAATAGTCTAGTGCCTTGAATGGGTAAAAACTTCAGCGCATAAAAATGACATATCAGGTTTATTTTATTTAAAAAAAAAATGACAGATCAGGTTGATTTCTGGGCCCCTTTTTTCCGGGCATGTCAAAATCACCTATGAACTAGGCTACTAGTATAAACTTGTTCTTTTTATTCTCTGTCCTTTGGTACTTGGGATTTTCACATGATGTTGTAATAGTTTAGGGTGAATTTTGTTTTAAGATCAAAGCTTGCAAACTTTTCCTTGTTCTTTTCTTATACTTGCCTTTTGTGTTTGTTCAAGTACCATCCTGATGTCAACAAGGAACCTGGAGCAACTGAAAAATTTAAGGAGATCAGTAATGCATATGAGGTATGCATAAGAATTTTGACAGAGAATTTTCAATTCCTTCCATCACCTAATAATTGGTTGAAATTAAACTATTTAGATTGAAAGCCATAGTTCTAATATGTAAGCAGTGAGCAAGGTACATACTATTGCAGTTATCTAGCTGATTGAACAACTTGGGCATTATGTTTCTATTTCGTTGCATTTTCATAATTTGGTCTTTTTTGGTAGAAAAAGTACTTCTGGAAAGTTAATTTATAGCATCATAACATTGGTAATCTGCTACAGTTCTTGTTCTTCTGTTATTTATCTTGATTTCTTCATAAAACTTTGCATTCTGGTGGACAAATTTCTGATTTTATTTTTGGTCCTTCTGACACATTTCATCCTGATATTTTGGAGCTCTTGGAAATCTTGGTTAGGTTCCATTTTTACGTCTTCTCAAAGCTTTGAAAACCATCTTTTGCCTTAACCTGCTGGAACATAGTAATGATTCTATAAATTTAAAAGTTAATCTGGATATTCCTGTTGGAAGTATGAAGTGCACTGCACTATTCTTATCATTGTTTACATCAAATAATGAGTTGTAATCAGTTTTCCTAAAAGGTTAAACTAGCATAAAGGGCTTAATTTACTTTTTTGGAATAAAAGAAGAAAAATTAGAAGACGTACCAAAATAGTTGAATTTATTAGTTGTATTTTATCTTTAACACTCTTCCTTATGTGTATGAGGTTGCACTTGCATCAGAATACATACATGAAATAACTTATGGGAATAAATAAATGAGAGATATATGCAGAAGAGGAGGCTTGAAACCTAGATCTTAAGCTTTGCTATCATGTGAAATAATAAAATCAAATTTTTTTTTTCAAAAATTTAAGTTGATAAGATTTAACCAATCTATTATTTATATATTAACATGCTCTCTAGCATAGACTCTCAATCTTATATTAAAGTTTAACTAACGGAAATATTGCGACAGTCAAGATTCATACTCTAAACACCTTACTCTAATATCATATTAACTAATAAGTTGTAACTAGTTTTCTTAAAAACTTAGGCTATTAAAAATAGACCAATTTATTGGTTAATATTATTAACAATCTAGATAGCATGCTTGCTTTAGTGCAAGTGTGTTTTAGGTCTAGTTTGATCATTGAAAGAATAGACTCCCAACATCAAGGAATCTAGCTTTTAGATATCCAAAGATTCTTTTGCCTATGTTTCCTCAAAGAAATCAATAACTTTTCTGAAAGGAAAGAGGAATTTATCCCAAGGCAGTAAGGAGGAATCTATTGCAAGTCTTGAAAAACTTATACAGTTTGATAATGATATACCTACTGGATTTCGTAAGGTACAAAAGAATGCATCAAACACCCTCTTTATCTTTTCTCACAGTTTGTGTCATGTAATCGTGTTGTAAGACGAGGGAAAAGAAAAGAACTCTCTAAACTCTCTCTTTCTCTCTCTCACTCTCTCTCTACCTCTCAAGACACATTCCCATCTCCTCTCTCTCTCTCTCTCTTTCTAAATCGCTTCTTATTAGTAAGGAAAGGGCGAGAAAGGGGAAAGCTTAAGGGGTGGTTGTTCGGAGTGGCTGACCCAAAAACATATCTAGAATGTCGACCAGCCAAACCGAAAACTGGTACTTATTGACAGAAAATCGTTCGATGTTGTCTACATTGGAAGGAAGATGGATGGAATGAGAATTTGTGAAAA